CCCCCCCCCCCAGGTCTTTGTTCCGTAAATCTGAAATGCGGGATCTTAGCCGAATGTAGACCCTCAGAGTGAATCAGTGATGGATCTTAGTGGTGACTTTTGTATAGTAAAAATTCTGTTCTCTTAAAAGAGCAGGATCTTAAGCGAACCGTATCATAAGCGGTGGGATCTTAGGCGAAGACTACTGTAGAAGGCACACTTGCACACGCAGAGATGGGTAATGTTACAGAGGGCCTGAGAAGTGCAGTTAAGCAAACACAAATATGCAAAAAGCCTCTTCTTCAATTTACAAAACTTAACTGTTTAAAAAAAAAAACTCTTAAAAGAACAAAATTTGCACCAATGAACAAAAGACCTAAAAATGTAACTCCAGCCATCAATCACTCCTCTCCATAGCATTGTATAGATCTAACCTTTTGATTTATCCTGAATAAAAAAAACATTGTCATTTTAAATTACTTGATATCTAAAAGCAATACATGGCTCCAAGACTTTATTTGGAAAACCATACCCTAATATGCAGAATGCTAAGAAAAACCTGGAGAATGACAATGCCTCTTTGGAATGACCCTTGAGAGCTGAGATCAAAATAAACTCACACTCAATCGTTTTACATAATGCAGTACCAGTTTTGCAAATAATACTCACAATGTACTAGCTCTGCAATAAATGTTCTACTTTCTTTCAGTCATGATGAGCAAGCTATAAACGTTTGAAAGGAGAAGATGAAACCAGTGGAAAGCCACTACTTTTGGTCATCTGTAGGCTTAATAACAGCAAAGACCTTTTGAAAATTTTCCTTTTTTTAAAAATTGAGACGAGGCACTAACAATTACTTACACCGTTAACTTTAACAAGGGAAACGGGGTTCCAACATACATCTTCTGACTGATTATAACACCATCATGAATTTGATCACTTTTTAGAACATACTGAAACAGGTAAAGAAGGGAAAACAGAATGCAAGCTATTCCAAGCCACACATACACAGCTCTTGTCACCTGCAAATAATCATATAGGAGTACATCAGTTCTCCTATCAACAGGAGAAAATAGTTAGTGATGCTCAGGATAGTATCCACAGTCAGTACTCAAGATTTACCATTTGCCTCATCATTGGTTGGTCCAGCAAACGGAAAAAAGTACAAAATAGGTACCATACTGAGCTATGTGTGTGAGCATCTGAAAAATATACAACCCACAAGCCTTTACAACAAAGGCAACATGCCTCCATAAAGCTCAAGCCAGATCTCTACAAGTTCTTTTCAAATCAAAAGTTAACTTGACAAAAATTCATCAGTCATTGATTTAAGCACATTCAATTATGCTGACTATATTACATTTTTTTAAAAGCATACAAAGGAAAAGTGTTAGTACAACGCATGGGAACAACATAATACTGTACAAATAAGTAAAATGCTTTGTAACAAGACATAACCATAAAGGTCAGCAGGCCTTCACAATGCCACCATTTCGTACTCGTCTATAAAAATCATCTCTTCAAGGAAAACATGAAACGATGAAAAGCAATTACTTCATTTTAACCCCTGAGGGTGAACAATCTTAAAACAGTCATTTGCAAAAGAACGTCCTCGTCAACAACTTTTGAGGTAAATCGATATTGCTATGCAATCTCATCCACTTATAAACTCTTTGATTTAATAAAACAAATAAAAGACATTGATTGTATTGCGTTAACATAAGTTCTCATATGAGCCCATTGATTGTGACCAATCAAAAATTCATCTGCTCCAATCATCTTGCTAATTTCATGACACAAATTGTGTAACAAGGTATTCAAATCTTGACAACTTTCCTCTTTGACAAATGAACCAGTATTATTGCTTTAGGAAAATATGTTTTGAAACAAAGCAAGACCAAACTTGTGAGCGTCAGCAATATGCCTTAACTCTTTCGTGGCAAGAAACTTTACAAGGGCAATAGTTCACATGCTCACCACTGTATCAAAGCCCTTGAGGTGATTGGATTGGCATTCCTAATACAGCGAGTAAACAAAACTATGCCAAGAAGAATGAGAAATTTTTATGCCTTTAGTAAAAGTTGTCAAGCCAAAATATTAGTGCACAAGGCAAATTAACATGACATTTCCATTAGAGAGAAAACTCCCCGACAGCACTTTGAACTCCACCCCTTCCCTAGAGCAACTATAAAGGTGTAAACAGCGATGAATCTTGTCATATTATATAGAAGGAACCAACAAAAACTACTTACTGTTCCCACATAATCAGGGCTATCTGCTTCACTATAAAATCATTGGTAGAGGTGGGAAACAAAACAAAGGAAAGAAAGTCAGAGGAGCTTATTAGGTGTCCACAATCCACTCACCATAAAATGAATTTCCTCTTAGTGTTTTCAAGGTTTTTGAACTATATCATTCAAATTCCCAAAGGTTAGGCCATCAAATTAACGACAAACATCATCCAGACAGAAAGAAAGACAGCAGGTGACAAAGCGCACTAAAAAGTACAACACAGAAAACAGAAAAAAATACTAGATCTAATTACAATTCATGTGATTGATTTTTTCATTTAAGCTTTTCAACGCATTTCTACAAATCAAAAGCAGTCTTATACAATATAATTTTTTGTAAAGGAATACTTCAGTTTGAATTGTAGAAGTAAAGCAAAAGAAAAAAAGACTTGAAAAAAAAAAAAAAATCTTTCAATGTAAAGATATGGCAAAAACTAAATTTTAAGTCATTAAAAACAGAGTAAGCAAATTTTTTCCTCAAATAAACTGGAACTACAAAGTCGTAAAGAAAACTGTTAAAAATCCTTCTAAAAGAGCAGCCCTGTCCATACTCCCAAAACACCTTCAGTGAGGTTCCACTGTCTGAAACGGATAGCTGAAACCATTATATCATATGGCTAAAAAAAACGTCTGTCACAAAAATTAGATCGTCACTGGGGGAAAGTTTATAAACTTCTTAAATTGAAGGAGTACTGCGTAACAGTCCAAACCCTTCGAGATCTTTTGTGGCTTGAAAAAAGTAACAAAATACCAAAACAAGATAGCCCTAAGAACTAAAAAATAATTTCATGACAATTTCTGGTAGCTACACCCTACATTACAACCTCTGAACACACATACAGTTGAACCTGCTCTAACAGCCACCTGTATAAGACATTAACCTGAACAAATGGCCACTTCCCATTTCCCCCTTTGCATTAAAAAAAAACCCATAATGATACTGTCTAAGGTGGCCATTTTCCTCCTCACAATGGGTGGCCTTAAAAAATTTCGACTCTATATTATATATTCTCATCTACATTCAGGATAGATTCGCTTCCGGCCCACTCATGAAGCTGCTTTCCAAGTAGATACAAGGCCTATCAGCAATCCAACAGCAACAGGAAAGAAACTTCTGGCTTCACTTTCAGGAGGTGGAGAGTGTCAACACTTATAGCATTTATAGGAAAAGTCCAAATGTCCATCTCTCCCTCCCTCTACCCCCCCCCCCCCCCCCCCCCCCCCCCCCCCCCTTCTCTCTCTCTCAAACACGCATGCACACATATATGCACACACACACACACACACACAACACACACACACTCACACACACACACACACACACATGTGCACACACAACACACACACAAACTCAAACAAATACTAAGACACTCTCAGACATCACTCTTCCCTTTTCTAAATCTTGAACTTGAACAATAAAAAAAAACCACTAAAAAATGGAAGACTGTCACCTTAACGGCTGAACCGTACACTTTTCTGACAATCACTCTCAACAGAAATTTTTAATTACATAAAAACTATTCATACCCTAAAAGACAAAAGACTAAATCCATTTCAGTATAAAACTTGGCTACTTTTCCTTCATACACCATTCAGAGCCACGTTCAGCAAGGTATCTCTTTAAGTAAGAAAACTGTATGGGGAAAAAATAAAATGCAATAGTGCTCACCCCTGACAGTTTACTTGCTTGTACTTCATCATTGTTTCTTTGCTGCCACATAGCCCTAGGTAAATCATATACACGCATGTATACAAATACGCGTTGGAGCTACAAGTCGCAAAATTAAATGTCACCACGTGGTGGAAGAGGGAATCAGGCCCTAGTCAATTTTTTGACATGAGAAGTTTTTGGTATCATGTTAAGCTTGTTCATTTGTCAATTTTTTATGGAAAAAAATACCCATCTAATTTGAATTAAAGTTGAGATGTCTGCGATTAAAAGAAAAGGGGGTCACTTGGTTTTAGCAGTAAAATTATTAAGAAAATGGCCGCCAAAGTTTGATGACTTTCAAAGCTTAAGAATCCTTAGAAACTGAAAAAAATTATGTTGTGTGCCTTTAATCAATGTTCTACAGAAAAATCAAAACAGAAATGTGCTATTAAATGGAGATAAAAGGTGTTCAGCCTAAAACCAAAATTTTGATAAAAATTGCCAAACCGTCTTAACAAGGAAAATGCTGGTATCTTCAATTTCATTATTTTGATGAGCACCTGATTTCACCACAATGCCTCACATATACTGTTTCATGTTTGCTAACCTTTGATTCTACGACCAGCTAAGCTTTCTTTTGCGTGAAAACCAAATCAACTAAACCGGGAGTGTCATAGAAATTATTATAATTCTCCTATTGTATAACTTTCAGGACAACTCAACATAACTTGTCTCACATTATTCAGATCAGGTGGAAATAGTGTTGATTCATTTTGGTCTTGTGTCTTACTGGCCACACACTTATATATCAATCAATCACTACAACAAAATGACTTTCTTCTTAAATGACAATATCTATTATAATTGTGCATTGGTGAGACTTTGGCCAAATTATGTATGTAGTGGCTTCCATACATACATATAGATTCTACTTCATGTGTACGAATCACCAGTGCTGTCCTTTCATGACCCTTGGTCCCTCAAGACCACCTGTAAACCCATTCAAAAACCCACCAATTGTCACTCAGTTATATTATGAAATACAGACACTTAAGACATCTTACATCAAGGCACTATTGACTCTGTTTAGCAGACATGAAATCTGTATTAGACAGTATCAGAAGCTTCTTTTTGACAGCCACATCTTTACATCAAACAAAAACTGCCAGAGGATAAAATGCTTTGAATCTTTGCTCCTTTTAACAAATTTGTAACATTGTGACAAGAGTATGTAAATAAGACAAAAGAATAAGTGAGACTTATAGACTTATAAATCATGGAGCAATGAATGCCTGAGAAAACTGGTAAAAGTAAGCAGTGTTCGGAGCATAGGAAGTTTACAAGTAATAACAAAATGCTGACAGGGGTTCAACAATACTACAAATTAATATTCGTACAAACTTATTATCAAACACCTGATCTGCTTTATCTCAGAATGGATATCTCCTTGTTAAGTCAAACATTAAACCTTATCTTACCATATCTTTGCTTCAGGTTTAGAACAACAAAACAGAAACAATCTATGATTTATGAACTTGGTCTTCTCAGCATCAATCTTGAGCATTCCAGGGAAACAAAAGCAATTAACTTTGACTTTGTACACAAATTTCTTTGATTATAACAAGACAAGTCCTGAACTCTGTGTTACATCATGTCTAGGCTGAACAAAGTTGTATCGATATATGGGTTACTTGACATGAAAAGCATCATGAACACTGCCCAGCAACAAACACTACAACATGGCACCTGCTATTTAAATGTAAATGAAATATAATTGTAGTTTTGATTAAAAAGAAAAAGGAAAACCAAAATGAAACAAAGGACCAACCCAATTAGATGATGTTTGGAGGTAATTTTCAATTAATTCAAACGCAGTTTAGAACAAAATAAAGTGCTTTTTCATAGATGTTCCCTTTCATCTTGCATTCTATTTCCTCTCTATCTCTCATGATAAATGTTCAAAACTGAAGTGTTCTATCTATCCCTATATATAACACCCCTTGGTAGCACTTTAGTCTTATGAAATTCAGTTCAGTAATCCCGAGACACACATTGACATACACCAACATTTACATTACTTTTTACAAAACAATACAAGGCAAAAATAATATTATGTCCACATCGCAGACTGATTTGGATTTACAGAATTTTGCAAAACTTTTCGTAAAATTTACAAAGGCATCCTTGTACATGTACAAAAAACAAATCATGCAGAACTGACTGGAGGTCTATAGATTGGAATTCTTGATGTAGATCTCGGAGCACCCATGGTGAAGGATCGGCGTAGCTGCCGAGAGCCCTGCTGCTGCTCCATGCTGGTCCGCGTGCACAGGGCCCACACCTTGAGGAACAGCTGCTTCACTTCTTTCCGGAAGTTCAAGTTAAAGATGATGTACACTACGGGCTTCACCACATAGTTCAGGAGGTAGGAGCGAATGCACAAGTTGAAGGCGATCTCCGTGGCATTGGAGGAGAACTGATTGAAGACTTTGGTGGCCACGCACAGGATGGTCACCACAACATAGGGCAGCATTGTCACTACGAATGCTATCGAGATGACCAGGAATATCCACGTCTGCCTCGTGTGCTTCACGTGCAGCTGAACCACTGCTGCTGACGGGGGGGCGCTGCTGGCCTGAAGACTGTTCGTCTTGACGATGCCGCTGCTTTTCAGAGGCACTCGTGCGGGGTCAGTGTTCGAATGGGACACCGTGCTCTGACTGTGTAAGCGACAAATCTCTTCGTTATAGTTCGTCACAGAGGAGGTGCTGGTGTCTTCTCGAACGAACCGATGTTTCTTTGGAAATTCCCGCTTTGCCGGGCTGGGTTTCTCCCCCCTCTCCTCCGCTTGTCTTTGCTTCCAGTAGTTGACGCCAATCAGGCAGTACAGAACTGACATGATAATCAAACTCATGGTGAAGGTAGTAAGAACACATGCGAAGTACAAAATCCTCAACCACTGAGGTAAGTCGGGGTCTATGGAACACCCCTCTCCGTATATCCCTGCATGAGCAGTTCTTATTTTATTTATATCAAATACAAAACATGCTGGAATGGAAACCACTACAGCAACCACTATCGACACAATGCAGTAAACCCTTGCTTTTTTCACCCCGAAATCTTCAGATGGGCGACAATGTTTTCTGTAGCAATCATAAGAAACACAGATTAGAGTTAAGCACAGAGCACAAACTGACCACGTCTCCAAAAAGCCCATTATTTTACAAAGTGGCACCACATCAAAAACGTAGGGTAGGCCTAAGGCACACATTTCCAATGGAATTCCAATAAAACACCCAAACATGTCGAATATTGCGAAGAAGATAACAAAGAAATTGGAGGTGGCCCTCCTCGAGCGACACCTGTAGATGTAGCACACGAGAATATTGCATAGAACGCCAAGCACCATAATACATCCCAGAATTATGAATATGGGGTAAAAAGACCCCGCTTTCCTCCTGTTCAGCTCATAGATATCTGGCATGGGCTCCCTGGTAGTGTTAAGAACTAGGAGCATTGGGCTCTTATTTTCCGGTTTGGGGGTCACTTTTCCGGCATACTCATCAAAGTCATAGCCAACGTAGAAGACAATCTGCGAGTCGTTGACCCCATCGAGGTCAATGTCCACCTCGTCCACCACACCAATGTCAGCCATGGTGGCGCTCAAGTCTCAGTCACAGGCAGGGGAGAGACGGCCTATCGGCAAACATACTCTGTGAATAAAAAAAAAAGAAGTCATCAACACGTCACTGCATTCGCAACAAAGGCTTCATTTAGTTTAGTTTAAATTTGACTACTGGCAAAATTGAAGGCAAACGAGGCATGGGTAGGCCCAGAGCAACCTACTTAGAGAACCTGAACAGAACGGTAACGGGGAAACATCAAGGTAAAATAGCTTTTTTAAGAGCATCCGAGCAAAGGAATGAATGGAGAACCATGAACACCGGTATCTACCGTAGATCTGGCACTTGATGATAATGATGAAGTTAGACTTTTACAGCACTTACAACACAAATACGTCATATATAAGTACCAAGATTAGAAGTGTAACTAGTGAGTAACATACAAAGATAAGAAGGCGGAGAGAAAGTTGTTTTTGTTTTAGTAGAAGTTTTACGCCGCTCGCAACTGCATAAGATTATATGAGCGCCAAGGGGTGGATGTCAACAGAGAAGTCTTTACGTGGAATCACGCTTACTCTGCTCGCCTCTCTAGCTTCAAAAGCACAAAGTCTGCTTCGACTATCAAGGCACCCCGGAAATAGCGGGTCACAAGAGTGTGACAAATATACAAAAAAAAGTAGAGGAAAATTTGACGATAGTAAGGATTAGAAAAGAAAAAGCAGCAGTTCCCTGTTGCAGTTCAAGCTCAGTTATTAGCATGACATTGTTGAATCAGCCCATTTACAATTCCACTGTACATAAAAACAAGTTAATGTCCCCCATTCGGGAATGGCCTACAGACACTTCAGTCAGTGGCAAGGCCGGGTGGGGGTAAAGAAGATAGATGTTTGATAGGATAGAAGTTACAAACCACACCAGGGCACCCACAAACCATCCACAAATCTCTTATTATTTTTTAGATCAAAGGCCAAACAAATTAGAAAAATCAACCGGTCTGACTTTTCCCTTGATTTCAGACAATATTATAATGCATTAATAAAATGTGCCCTACAAGACTATTCAACACTGACAAACTAGCGGCTATGGTCAATCCAAACGGGAAAATAATCATAACAGGGAATGTATATTATATATCACAGATGGCTAATCCACTTGCAAAGATTTTGATTCTTGCGTTGACAACAGAGAATACAAATATTTTAAATGTAAACAGAATCAAGGAGTAAATATTTTTTAAATACATCTTTATTCACATTATAATACATCTAAAACACATGTCATTGAGGAAATAAATTGCCTGAGCAACAACCAAAATATGTAGATATTCTTTATCAAACAATCAAAAAACGTTTAGAGATATACGTGGGTGTCATCAAAACTAAACAACTAAATTTAGGAGTCCATATTGAATCATAGAAAATGTTAGGCACAGGAAGAACCTAAGGAAAAACCAAGAGCAACTACTTAGACACCAATATCAAGGTTAATCAACATTGCATTTTATTTATCCCCCCCCCCCTCCCAACCACCTTTGCTTTTTTTTTTCTCTTTGGGGGGAAGGAGTGGGGTGAAAGACAGATAGAAAACAGAGTTCGTGTAATACACAGCGAGTTTAGTTACGGGTAAGTTTTAATAAGAGTTTTGCGGCACTCGCAACACAAATAGATCATAAGTGCTGAAGAGTAGGTGTTACTACTAGAGAGCAACATACAAAGTAAAAAGGAGGAGAGATACCAAATACAGATGTTTGGCAGAAAAGGGGGAACAAACTATACCAGAGCGCCCTGCAACCACCTACTAAAAGACAGAGAGAAAAACGGAGCGTTAAATTTCAGAAAGGAAGAACCAAGACGAATCACACCTGTTAAATACAAAAGGGCATAGATCGACCTATTTTGAAATGATTTCAAGAAGAAAATTTTTAAAGTGTGGAAGCAAATATGTATGCGAATATATATATATATATATATATATATATATATATATAAATAAGTACCCCCCACACACAAACACACACACACACACAGGCATGCAAACACACACACACACACACACACACACACACACACACACACACACACACCGAAATCTCTCAGCATTAAAAGATAACCTAAAGTGCCGTCATATATGAAGCAACAGAAATTCCCCAACAGTGATGTCTCGTGAACGTTACCTTAAGGAAACACAGCCCACATTTCACACAGTCTCATCCAGCAATTGTCAGCACACCACCGAGATAGAAAGAACAATGGTCCACCAACGTACTACAGCCACTCACAGACACACGAACAACTGGTTGTCACAACCAAGCATTAACCACTACTTATTACAAGACATAAATCCCTACCAGTACAACAACGTGCTACCCTACGCCGGGCCCCAGTGATCCCGCAAGATCGAACGGCACGGTTTAATACTACACGCATTGTACTAATAATCTTTTCTTATTCTTCACGACCGAATCACAGGTTTCATTCAGTGAACATAACAGGCGGCTTTACCGGCTTACGATCCGTCTGACAAAGGTCTAAAAATAAACGGCAGTAAATATAGCGACAAATCAATCGAACAGGGATACTGTAAAGTCACCGAGTATGCCCTTCACACATGAACAGCAGAGTCAAGCCTTACAAGTTATAAACACAAGCTGTCCCGGTGACACGAAGTAACGGACGAGTTAGGATTATTTCGTCTTAATAAGAGTTTTACGGCACTTTCAACACAATGAAGTCATATAAGTGCCGAAGATTACAGCTGTTACAACAACGTAACAAACACAAAAAGGAGAAGAGAAAAGGGCGATAGTCGTTTTAAAGGAAAGAAGGAGCAAACCACACCAGAGCACCCGCCAACCACCCACTGCACGAGTTTATAAATATACAAGTAGATATATAAGCCTTACTTTCGTCGGTAACCGGTATGTTTTTAAGACTATAACTTTTCAGCCCGCGCTGTAAAGCTTAATGCTTGCACCCGTCCTTCCTGTTCTGGCAAAGCAACCAGTCAGCCACAGTGTGAATGAAATAAAACCGAGGAAGTGGGCGTCGTGTGTTTAAATGTTTACAGTACGCTCGCTAGACTTCCGAAATCTGATGAGGGCAGGACAAAAAAACCTAGGCGGTGTCGCGGGAATTTTACACCACAGCTAAAAAAGCGACCCAGCTGAGCCTAATTAACGATACATGTTCGCAGAAAACCACAGAAAAGAACTTGGAATTACACAGACATCCATCCTGATATGTAAAATACATGTAAAGTATACTTCCACACATTCATTCGCATACTACAAGGAATTGCGCGTGCCTCCTTCTACATACATCATGCCAGGTGCACACCGTGCTCCGTGTGTGTGTGTGTGTGTGCGCGTGCGTGTGTATGTGTGTGTGTGTGTGTGTGTGTGTGTGTGTGTGTGTGTGTGTGTGTGTGTTTTGTGTGTGTGTGTGTAACGCCTGTGAGAGAAATGGTGAATATGTGGGTGTGTTGGCCGTGTGTGTTCGTGCATGAAAAAAAAACTTGTTCGAACACAGAGGAGTAAGTAGGCCTAATCTACACGTGTTCAGCATACGTAGGTGCATGGGTTCGAGAGAGACAGAGACAGACAGACAGAGAGAGAGACAGACAGAGAGACAGAGAGACAGACAGACAGACAGACAGACAGACAGACAGACAGACATCCACTGGCTACAGACAGACAGACAGACAGACAGACAGACAGAGAGACAGACAGACAGACAACAGACAGACAGACAGACAGACAGACAGACAGACAGACAGACAGACAGACAGACAGAGACAGACAGACAGAAGGTATTCACAGAGAAAGAGGATATAGGGGAGGGGAGGGAGACGTGGAGATGTGAGAAAACAACAGGCAGGGACAGCAGAGAGAGAGAGAGAGAGAGAGAGAGAGAGAGAGAGAGAGAGAGAGAGAGAGAGAGAGAGAGAGAGTGAGAGAGAGAGAGACGGGGATGGGGAGAGGGGGGAGAGAGAGAGAGAGAGGGATAACAGGGGAGAGATCTTATCTTTGCCACTGAGATGAATCACTCCTGTTTCAGCAGCGAAAACACACGAGCTCTAATTTAGAGGCTTTTATGTAAAATATAAAGTACATGTAAATCTGGATCCAGTCAGCCTCTTTAGGCAGAACTTTGGACCTACTTTACACAGTATTCAGGGAAAGGCGACACTTGTAATCTGATAATCAAGCATGGCTTTGGGTACGGGTGGAAGTTGGAAACATACTTTATTACATAGTCTCTAAGCGAGGCGGTAAAAATGAGTTTTTGTTTTATAAACGTTTTACAGCACTAGCAATACAATTAGGTTATATAACAACCGAAGATTAGAGAGTACCAAACACAAAAAGGAGAAGGAGAGATAAGGGCGATATCCGTTTGATAGGAAAGAAGGAACAAACCACAACAGAGCATCCGCCAACCACCCACACGGAAAAAGTGCCGGCACCACGACTCGGGCAAAGATAGCAGTGAAGGAAGTTTGAAGTCTGTTTACGTAAAACGACTGAGCAAGCGGGCGCAAAGGGGGGGGGGTAGATAGATAGATACAGAGAGAGAGAGAGAGAGAGAGAGAGAGAGAGAGAGACAGACAGACAGAGAGAGAGAGAGAGAGA